GTTATGCTAGGTTAGAGATGGGCAAGGTAATTAATTACTTATTGCGTAAAAGGTTAGGTCACATTATGCGACAATTTAGCATGTTATTAGTTGTAAGTATATATTATTAGTAAATTGTCGGATAGTGTGGTTTGACTTTTTATGTAATAAGTAATTACCTTGCCCATCTCTATGCTAGGTTCGTCATCAAGGCTAGCAGGCACGGAAGATATATGAGAGATCAGTAATGAAAGAGTATATTCTAATTGATACTGATTCTTTCTCCACAACCCTTATGTTTTTCCTAAAAAAACAAGGATATGGCTGAATACGAAAACCTATTAGAATACGTAGAATTGTAAAGAATATAATGTAAAACAGTACGCAAAAAAAGAAAAAAACGTTACAACATGCACCTTTTACGCGTTTTTCTATGCATCAATGTACAGTTAAAATTTTCTATAGTCATCTTCCATATAAGTACGTCATGTAAAAACTCTACGTATAAGCATATTTATTTTAAAACCAACTATTATAGCTATACAGAAAACAACTTCTATATAAGCACAACTCATTATAAAAAAAATCGTTATAATCCCGGTGGTGTGATTATAGAGAGGCTAGGCTATATATGCTTTAAATTATAATATATATTACATATAGCTTAGATACTTTTATCTAACGTAGTATTTTATGTTTTTAAAGTTCGGCAAATTTCGTATTTTGACTTAACAAACATTGTAATATATAATTAACTCTAGGTGGTAATATGGTTTTTCTTTAAATCTTTTTTTTTTTTTTTTTATATACCGATACATTTTAAAAAAGCACAAGACTTAAAATAGAATAATTCAAAAACATTTTATTGAATTTATTTAATTACAATATACATGTATATTTTAATAATACCAACGCGCATATGTATATCTCTCAATTAATAAATTATATATAACTTGAAAATTGATAATCTATTAAAAATAAATAAATAAAGATTAATAAATATTAAAATACAGTAGTCAAATATTATATTGCATATTACGAGAAATTCCAAGTCCTGACTAGTCACTTCTAAAAAGCCAATAGCAGCGGTAACACTTGCCAAAGAGCCAGTAACTGGGTCTACTCACTTGCCAAAGGGCCAGTAAAAGCTACTTAGACACCCTTATCAAGCCAGCATAAATCTATAAATGGGCCCCTAAATTTTTTCGACAACTATCTAACAATGTTGGTTTTATTCTATAATTGCTAAAATTTTCCAAGTTTCTATAAGTTCCTCGTATCCAGATAAATCGAATATTGTTGTTATAGTGGCTTTATTTCGGCAATTATCTGACGATATTCTTAACAATGAAATTTTATAATTGCCGAAATTATCCAAGTTTTTTCCAAGTTCCTGATATCCAAATGAAGTTGCTTCTTGAGGCGCCCATATACAGATAGAACTGCTAATAATGTAGACAAAATTTCTCGTAATAAGCCAAGGTTGTTTACTTTAGATAAGACATACCAGTACAAGGGGATAAATCACGAATGTCCTGGTATATATCTATTAAGAAAGGAAAGCACATAACTAATTTCTCTTCTGGAACTAGTAGACCTTAGTAGACGTCTTAAACTAAAGTAAACAAATCTTCTGTTCCCGAAATCGTTTACAAACATAATACAGACCTTTGTTAACGCGCACTTAAAGAGAGTTACTTCAAATAAAAAAATAGTTTTCGCACAAAAATGTATTTCTTAAAAATAAATATATAATTATAAATAATCAATATTTGTAAAATAAAGGCTGAGAAAAAATATATTTCTTAAAAGCAACATTTTAAAAAAAGGTATATAGAGCGAAATAAAATTTGTTCACGATTTATATATTCGAGGGTTTGTTTATCGTTGCATTGTGTGTTCGGAGCAGGGACGATGATTTTCTGCAAAATGCAGAACACCGCAGAATTTACTTGTAGGCCT